TGAACACGGAACGTTTTAAATTGTCGTTTGCAAATAGATTAATTTTTAACTATAACCTATTCATATGATGTAAACTTTACTAATGTATTCTTAATATTTACTTGTAACATAAGATATGTATTTTTATCTTTTGATCTAATAAAAAGACTTTTGAATTTTGAAAGACTTTTGAATTGAATCACTGTAGTTAAATCCTTAACTACGATTAGTTAACTACACGACTTAATTGCATTGCACAAAACGTAGTTTGTCGAATGATTAACTAATCATCTAGTTAATTTGCGTGGGGCGTTTTAAATACAAAATTACATAAAGTAAGCAGCGATTAACGACTGCCGACAGGCATTTTTAACATGATTGTGGGCTCGCATTTTGCAAATAGGCGGGAATTTTATTCAAAACAGTGAAAAATACACTAGAAAACAAGGAAAAATCAACGAAGAAGGCCATTTTTACTTGAGATGTCTACGTTAAACCAAAGTGTAATTGTTTGGCAATTATATATCATGTTTCTACGTGTAATGGGCCTTACATCGTCTTCGAGAAATCTTCCCGTGCAAAAATATATTTTGTTTTCGCCGAAAAACCAAAGCGATAGCGTTTGAAGAGTTTATATTGTCAGAAAACATTCACAGGGAAGATAGCGATTGAAAATCTCAGGTAAGCATTACTTTTAATTGATGTTTTACTGAAAAATGACGTTTTGAGAGGTTAACAATACCCTAAAGAATCGTTAACTTTAACTACGTTTTAACTACAGTTCACGCTAACCACTTTTTTATACAACCGAGTTAACTACGTGATTAAAGTTAACCACAATTTAACTACAAAATAGTGATTAAGAGTTTTACACAACTGGCCCCTGGCATGTATCTTCAAATTTAACGCTGTATCAACAACAATTTTCTCGGTTTGAAGCTGAGGTCAGCAGATTGCTCTGTGCCTTCGACGTGATTTCGACCAGTCAAAATGGTTAAGAACGTTTTGAGAGGTGGACATCAAATTTGAGAGGTGAATATCAAATTTTGACGGTGGACATCAGTTTTCGAGCAGTGGACATCAAATTTTGAGAGGTGAATAGCAGTATCGCGAAATCAGGAGGTAGAAAGCAATGCATGACAGCGGCTAGGCGACCAATCAGAACACGATAAGTGAAATATTTTTATATAATAACTATACAGTGAAACATGCAATTTGATTGGTCAATAGCCGTGCAGGATCAGGATATCCTGCACGAGGAATTAAAATGCCTTCGCGGGATATTCGCGCGATTCTCAAAATGTCATTGTTTCACTGTAGTTATCTTATAAAACAATTACCAAATGGTTTTCCAAGCAGGATAGCGTGATCCATGCACTTGGGATGTTGCTCGACTTTCGGAAAGCGTGAAAATACACTCGCCTGCGGCTCGAGTATTTTTACGCTTTCTGAAAGTCTCGCGACATCCCTCGTGCATGGATCACGCAATCCTGCACGGAAAACCATTCGGTATTCCTTTAATGGGACAATTATCTATATTACGGGTAACATGCAAATACCATACATCTGTATCAGTTGGAAGAACTACATACCTGCGTTAAACGTATAACACAGTCCCATGTCTGTAAGTGTTGTTGTGAAGTCTGAATATTTACATTCATCTCCTAACCATGTGCAACGATAGAGCATTCCTCCCTCGGTCTTATTGTCATACTGCATTTGATGTGCTGCTGTGCGGACTAACTCTTTCATATTTAAATTATTCGTGTTTGCATATTTGGTCCAGTTAATTGGCTTCTTATCTTTTTCATAAAGTGGATTTTGCTGTTGGAGCACGTGTAAAAAATCTGGATAATCGTTACTTAACACACTGTTGCGGTACTGGTTAAAATTACACAAAGTGACGGCTGGAAAATTGCTTTCTCGTTCGGTTACAAACTCAATTGTACTTGTCACATTGTATTCTAAATAGTCCAAAGCTAAGGTCAATGTTTGCCACAAAAACAAGGCACACATTAAGCCCTGTAAAATAAGCCAAATAATGCGCTGTGGTGCTGGACGCTTTTCGAAAAGATAATGCAAGCCATGTAGTGTTGATTGCTCTATAAATTTGTCCCAAATACTCTTCTTTTTTTCGTTCAAGTGGGAATTCTTGTAACCTCCATTAAGCTCTCTAACATCATCAGCATCCATCATTCTGCATTAAACGGTAACCAAAGCTATATTCCAATAATTGTGTTATAAATGCCAGTAAACCAATGACAACTCCGTATATTGAGCTAAAATTAAAAAAAGGTATGAATATTGTAATATTTAACATTTAGACTTTCGTTTCTAAATTCTTTTATATTTTCGCTGGTGCATGTGATGATAGTGATAATGATTATGGTGTTGATACAACCTCATCATCAACCAGGTTCACATGGCTACACTATGGCTAACCCTGATTCATCAACTTTAAAGTTCTAAACATAATATTCTATTAAGAATACTGATAGGCGGAGTAAAGATCAACAGTTATTATATGTCAATTAAAATTAATTCTTTTTGACTTTATTATTCAGTTTGGATTGTATTAAAGGTTGATTGCTACAGCTGGTATGACAACATGCAATGAGACCATGAGTTATAATATATGGCTCGCAGACATGGATAGAGAAAAACAGTAGCTGAACGGGATTAAAAGAGAAATATGTGCAGGGGCGTAGGAACCAAAAGTGCCCTTTTTTGTGATGAAAGTACCCTTTTTGTAGGAGCTAATGTCACTGTAAATACTATATTAACATCGAAGGTGCCCTTCTTGTTAGGAAATTTCGTCGTTTTTAAAAACAATTTCGTCAAAAATGTTCATTGTACATTGCAATTCCAAATTTTGGCAAATGTATTATATTAAGGATGAACTATGGTATGACCGGAAACACCAACCGTCGCCAACGGGGAAATGTTTTAGGTGGCCTTTTCATTATCCAAAAGTGCCCCTGGAAGTCTGTGCCCCCCCCCCCCCACACCCCTTTGAATATGTGAAATTCGGAATTCCGGCCGGATTTAACGAATTTTCCGGCATCCGGCCGGATTTAAAATTCTGTTTTCACCTTAAAAAATTCACCAAGAATGGGATAAACCATCAATTTGGTAGCTTTAAAGTTTAAAAACCACTTATAATACTATAAAATATTAAGTTATTAACAAAAAGATATCTAAAGAAGGTTTAAACACAATCAAAAATCTAAACTGACACTAACTAAAAATAGTAAAAAACATAAACCGCCATTTTGAATACTGAATTATCCCAATTTATCCCCAATTGTCCCCATTCCCGGTTTTATCTCAAATCCGGGAATTCCGGCCGGAATTTTTGTCCAAATCCGGTAAATCCGGTTCCGGCCGGATTTGAAAATTCCAAATCCGGTGCACCCCTAGTCCAGAATGAGTGTAGACAAAGATCTAGTCAAGGTAGAATGGGAAGGTCCAATACTAGAAGGACAACACACAATTAGACAAGGTTGAGATGGAGGGATATTGTGGAAAGAGACATGAAGGTACGGTTGATCCCGTCATGAATTAAGGAGAAGATGAAAACTTTTTTATAATTTTATAATTCTCCATTCCAGTTCTCTTCTACATCGATCTAACTTTAATATTGAGGTCTGATTCCACGAGCGCTTTTTCTTGGCGAAACATTCAGCACGAAATGAATTCGTGCATGCGTATAGTAAAGATAAATTGGCTTCGCGAGAAACAATTTCGCTTTGCCAGTGAGTAGAAGTCAATTCTACTCACTACGAAAGCAAATAATGTGGCCAAATTCGGACATGTCAGCATAATCACCGACCCAGAGATAGAATAGAATAGAATAAAACTTTATTTATCCACGCTTCCCTCATCATCCGAAGATGTTTTTCATGAGGGGCATCACACAATTTAATTATATACATAAATATCACTCTAATACAAAAATAGTCTAAAAAGTTACTAGTAATTAGATAAATTCTAAAATAGAACACACGTACATCAATGTCTGACTCAGTTGTTGCATTTGTCACGTTTTAGTTGAACCTGATTAAGGATTCTGTTAACTTTGCCTCCGTAGGTAGGCTGTTCCATAGCACAGCACCACTGTACGACTTTTTTAAAATATTCAGTATTTGGTTTAGGAAGTGAAAGATTAGTACTATCTTTTAGATTTGGAGCAGAGTTGGTTGTTTAATATTTTATAAATCAGGACAGATTTGTTCATTTTTTGTCTGTCGTTCAGATTCTTCCACGACATAGCATGGAGGAAATCCGACGACCTAACGTCGTAGTTGGCACCTGTCATAGCTCTTGCCACTCTATTTTGTAGTTTTTGAATTTTCTCTTTAAGCATAGATCCACAACTGTCCCATAAGGGTAGGGTTACAAATTTTGTAAAGTTTCATTCGGTACAAACGGTTTAACTCTTTTAATAATTCCAATACCTGAGCCAACTTTTTTACATATTGAATCTATATGCTTTTCCCAACTCATCTTTTCATCGAGATCTACTCCAAAAAACATCGAAATGAAGAATATCGGGTGACGGGTATATCAGATGAATGCTTGTTTTCGATTGACCATAAATTAGTGTGACGAAAACTATATTCTTCATTTTAAAACAGGAAGAGAAGTTCTCGGAATAATTATGTTGTACAGATAAACATCATCAATTTACAGGTTTACAAAACAAATAGTCAATAATAAAATTAAACAAAACAATAAAATTTAAAGTTCGTTTATACTAAATACCTAAAATGTAGAATTTTTACAAAGCGCGGATTGTAATCAGTTTTAGTTCTTAGATTGTAATTTAGATATTAGATGTAAACTTTTAAAATGTGAATCGTACACCTCTGCCTCCGAGTATTGAGTAGACATGGTGTAGACAAGAGTGATCATACTTACGTCAATGCGGAAAGTAGATTTAACAGATAATAGCGTAAAATTTTAAATTAAAAACTGTTATAACTTTTTTTGTATGAAAACATTTTAAAGATGCATAGATGCTTATTTTTAGCTATATCGGCATCACCAAAATCTACCTTTCCATGCAAAATAATACCTGCTAAAAACGTCGCATTCCGGCATATATTATATATGATTATTATTAATGTCTCTTGCAAGCCAATATACATGGCTGCGACCTAATAAACGTTGTTTCTTTATGTTATTTACGCAGGTGTATGTGTATATCTTTATATATAGTTCTGTTTGATGCGAATAAAAATTTTGATGTAAATTGTATGTAAATTTTGATGGCCACAAGGGAGGGGGTATTTCGGTATTTTATCAAGTTAGCATGCATGCATGCATGCATGCAGCCACTTGTGTAGTGAATGTAAAGTTATATCCTTTGGCAAATTAGTTTCCTAATCGTGTTCTCTGATAGAGAAATCATAATAGACACCTTAAGATTAACGTTTACGGCAAACGTCAAACCGCTAACAAAATGTTTGATTTTACAACTCTATAAACCATGACCAGCCGACAATTTAAAAAAATAAAGTAAAAAACAAATTATGATTGGATTATGACCCGACATTAACTAGACTTCATTCTTTACAGAACTACCTACTTAAACTTCACAAACGTAATGAAATTACTGACGAACAACTTGACGCTTTAAGACCTATGACAGCACATTTTGGCAGAGCACACGGTTTGCCAAAGACTCACAAGAAATTTGACACTTTACCTAAATTCCGACCAATAGTTGACACTACTAACACTCCACACTACAACGTTGGAAAATTTTTATCTTCTTTACTAAATCCTCTTACTTTAAATGATCATTCTCTTTCTGATTCTTTTGATGCGGTGACCAATATTAGGCTAACAACATTCCCAAACATTTGTTTCAAGAAGGCTACCAGTTCGTTTCTTTCAATGTTGAATCCCTTTTTACCAACGTACGTTCCACTTTCCCGGATAGTCAAAATTATTCTAGATCGTATTTATAAAGACGAATTAATTGCAACCACTTTGAAAAAGCGCACTTCACTTTGAAGAAACTCATTTTGGATTGTTGCAACAAAACTGCCTTTTCTTTTGACGAGCAAATTTATGTCCAAAAAGACGGCGTTTCTATGGGTTCATCATTAGGACCTGTCTTAGCTAATATAATTTTAACTGAATTTGAAAGATTAACAGTTTCCGAGTTGATTGCCGATGGTACTATAAAATTCTACAAACGTTACGTTGATGACACTCTTGTTTTGATAAAACCTTCCAATATTTCCTCCGTTTTAGCTAAGTTCAATAGTTTCGATCCGAACTTAAATTTCACAGTTGATACATTTCCCGATGGCGTAGTTCATTTTTTAGACATAAAAGTCTCGGTTGATGGTACTGACATTTATCGTAAGGACACCCACACCGGTCAGTATTCACATTTTTCAAATTTCGAGCCTTTTCATCGCAAAACTGCATGGGTAAAATCTCTGTTCTACCGGGCTTTTAAAATTTGCAGTTCGAAAACACTTTTCAACAATCAAATTGAGACTATCAAATCTTTTATGTCTTGGAATGGTCAATGGTTATCCTATTGGCGATAGAAACTTTTTGATTAAAAAGCTTAAAACCAAATTTATTGATAGTTCTACTTCCGATGCCGTTAATCATGACACCAATATGTCGCCTAAAATTTGGATTCGTATTCCTTATCTCGGAAACCGTGGCGATTTTCTTTTAAAATCATGTCTTAATAAAATACAAAGATTTCTTTCTAAACCGGTTAAGTTCATCACTATTTATGACACTAAAAAGCTTTCTTATTTTGTTTCCAACAAAGATAAACTTCCTCCTTTATCTCGTAGTAATCTTGTATACGAGGTCGCTTGCCCTGGTTGTGGCAAAACCTATATTGGCATGACACAAAGATGCCTTTCTGTACGTTTGAAAGAGCATGCAACTAGGCTCTCTTCTAGTGCAGTGGGCCAACATTTTTCTGAGTGTGAACATGCTCAATTCTTAGCTACTTTACAAGACCAGTTCACATTACTCAACGATCTTCCTTCGCCTTCTGACAACTCTTCTCCTATTGAAAACCTTGTTTTCAACAGCTACAGAATACTTCACATTACAAAATCTAACAACTACAACATTCTTGCTTTTCTTGAAGCACTGCTTATCAAACACAACAAACCTTTTCTTAACACTGGACTTAAAGCTAGTAAAGAACTACAACTGTTCACATAACACTTTAACTTAATCTTCTTCTACATGTCGGGTCTTTCCCTTTCTACCTCAATCCTTCTAATATATTAAACATTGTTGTAAATAAGCTAAATACTCCATTTTCAGTTATTACCATTTTCTTTATCATGTTTCGCTTCGCTTGGATAATCCTTCTTTCCGCCCACATGACAGATGCTCTCTCTCTGCGTTGTATATATATATATATATATATATATATATATATATATATATGTATATATATATATATATATATATATATATATATATATATATATATATATATATATATATATATATATATATATATATATATATATGTGTTGTAAAGTATTGTATTTCATTCTGTTTGAAGATGACTTTGAAATAAAGTCGAAAATTTACAGTCTCAAACTGCGTCTTGTTTTGAATTATATATTGAATTCTCAAGATGTCCTGTATTTTCGGAATTTGTTTTTTACTTTATTACAACTCTATTATAACAGCTTTTAAACCAGTTTTCAAATATATTAAACAATTATTAAACTTGTGGTATTTAGCAATGATTTAAGAAAGCAAATTAAACACTAGTAACGTATTCACAAAAGCAGTAAATTAAGATTTGGCGTTTGAAGTTTACGTTTGGCGTATAAATTTCATGCTTTAACGACTACAAGCCCTCGTAGCAGTTCAAGCATGAAATTTATACGCCAAACGTAAACTTCAAACGCCAAATCTTAATTTACTGCTTTGGTCAATTCGTGACTAGTGGTTAATTTGCTTTCTTAAATCATTGCTAAATACCACAAGTTTAATAATTGTTTGATATATTTCAAAACTGGTTTAAAAGCTGTTATAATAGAGTTGTAAAATCAAAAATTTTGTTAGCGGTTTGACGTTTGCCGTAAACGTCAATCTTAAGGTGTCTATTACCTCAAATATAGCTCAGTCCTCAGAATAGATTTACACTGATTTTGTCTATACTGATCGCTTCGTGTTTTATCGACTGTTATGCGTCTAAAAAATATATATAAAATATATATATATAAAGCCAAAATTCAAAAGGCGTTTTCAAAAGAAATTACTATTAAGGGCCGGTTGTTCCAGGCACGATTAGCGATCATTAACCCTGAGCTAATATTTATTCCGCTGTTTTGCTATGCCTATGTGCACTTCGATCTGCAATATGATTGTATTTTTATAACTTCAGAAATTAAATTTGCTGATGTTGGCAAGTTTGCTTTGTCTGCATGTCTTTGGAATTTTACGTTGACCTAGGATCCTGCAGCTAATTAACCTCGGCTTTAGATCAACGAGCCCATTCAGGGTTCAATCGAGGCGCTAGTCCTGTTTCTTTCTCCTAGCTGTCCCAACTATGTTTGTCTTGTAACCAAAACATTTTAAGCTTAGTCTTATATAGTTTATAGTTATTCTAAGTATCTAGCTTTTAGTTATATATAGTCTTGTAAATTACGTAAGACAATCCAAATAAACTAAAATAAACTGAACACCCGTAAATTTTTCCCATTTATCTTTAAGCTTCCTGTTTTCGTCGGTTCAAAAAATTACCTATTTTAAGTGCCTTCACATGCAAGTCATTACTACTATAGTGTCTTAGAATATAAGATTTTCAAATCTGTTTTTAGATCACATATATCTAGTATGTTGAAATCACTATATATCTTACCTTTTAAATTTAAAGTTGTATAAGACCAAACCGCGAAGTGTCAGTATAATCGGCTCTGTGTGTGTTGACAATCATTGTCCATATAAGTATCCGATTATAACGAACAAGAAGAAATGGGCAATTTTGAAACGTGAGCGAAATTAGTATTATGAGTATTTACTTTACTGTATATTTTCGAGATAAGCCAATCATTGTAGGTAATGAATAATGCAGACGCTTCAGGCAGCTGTAATTAGCGGTGAGGTAATTCTCTATGATGCCCAGAATGCATTGAACCTTCTATATAGGATATGTATACGGACGTGCGACAATTGCATAGAATTCTAAGTAACTAGGTACTATAAGCTGTTTAAAAAAATCTTTGACATTGTAGAAAAACCAGAACAAGGTTTGCAATGCAGTGGTTTTTATCTGATTTTAATAATCTCAGTAAAGATAAGTTTACCATGACTACTACAGATTTGGACCTACGCGAAAACAAGGCCAACGTGGCAACGGCAGGAAGGAAAGAACATACTTCCTACAACACGTCTTTCCGTCCTATAATGCGGTATAAATGCAATAAGAATTTCGTTCTAATTAATAACAATAACTATCAATGTCCTAATCTTAACACACACACTTCGTTCTAAGTCATCTCATTGCGGAAATTGTTGTTAAAACAATCGCCTTTTATGATGACCGCACTTTAACATATGAGGGCGAAAATTAACCAAAAAGCTTTTAATTAATTTTATAAGAGACGTGAGTCTAGAATTGCGATGTGAGTCCAAACTTCTTGGGTTAATGTGTATCCAATGTAATTCTATCAATATACTTTTGTGCAGCTGCGTTCGAATGTAAGTGGACTAAATATCCATAATAAATTTTGACGAACGACTCATTTGATTGTCTGCATAACAGCAAGATGCCTATTTAGTAAAGTTTGTATATAAATTAGTAAAGTATTGTTCATGCTGATTAGGAGAAGTTATTTTCCTACTCAGAATAGTTTCACAAAATTTGCCGCAATATATCGTCTATTTAATTTTGTATGCTTAGTGATATATTTTTATTTCCTGCAATCTGATTGGCTGCAGGAGCGGTCAGCTTTTTACGATATCTTGACCGTGGTCCATTGGAAATAATTTTTTTGTTTTTAGCGACATACCGAGGGACGAAGACAATTTTCAGACTCAAAAAACTAAAAAGTTGAAATATCCACCCTACAGATAATACAGATAGTAAAATACAGTGAATTTACTCAATGGACTTAGTGACAAGCCCAAAATGTACTTTTCTCCGACCAAAACGAGAAAAAAAAACAAATACGAACGTTGAAAAACACTTTCAAATGCTCTATACATATATTCAGCTATTCTTCGAAAAATATACTTTTATTAAATATAAATACTACATATAACTATAGTTTACCCTTAAACATAATATTTTTTAAAAATACCTTGAAGGGCAGTTTAAGCATGATTCCATGAAATTTGTATGAAATACCTTCTGTGTTGTATTTTATCCAGTCTTTTATTACGTCGTTTTAGCAGTTTGTCAGCCATGCTTACACAAAAGTAACAAACACAAATGGAATTTTATTGGAATTTCATTATAACCATGAACCATAAAAAATAATAATCACGTTATGTAAGAGTTAATTATCGAGAAAGAACGAGGTTTCTTAGCAAGATACAACCCGAAGGGCGTGACCCGAAGAAAGCGTCCCAAGGGATGCTTTCTAAGGTCACGCTCCCAAGGGATTTTCGCATTTTGATATATATACTTAATGTTTTGCCATATTGGGCGAAGATGAATCCAATAAGTGTTTTATTATTATCGAACAAAACAATTCTATAACAAAAAAGTTTTCAAGTTTGTATAAGAAACTCAATTCCACGTATGTTTAAAGGTAATTTGACCTAATTTAATGAGAAAAACTATATATTAGTAACCTCGCAACTGTTTACAACAAATCAAATTTCGCGAAGACAAGTTTTCCCGCACTTTTATAATTTTAAACAAAACTGGTAGAAAAAACTGTCATAATGTTCCAAATTCTTTTCATTACTTTGCCATACCATTTGTTGTGTGTTTGAAATTGACAAAACATCTGAAAAAGAGTTTGATAAACCAGGAAAAAAGCCACAATAAGCTACTGTCCAATATGAACTGTCCTACATCGTAAAATATCGGGCTGGCACGTGACGCTATTGAAGACCCGTGATTGGTTAATGGCTTGTGAGCGTATAATAATATCAATTAGTATAAATTTTGCATATCAAATGAGCTTTCGCGCGTTCTGATTGGCTAGTTGACTAGTAAATTGATGCATTATTTACCACCTGATTATAGTAAATAATGCTTTTCAAACAGAATGATTCGGCAAATTTGGTTTCAAAATCGACGAAATATTGAAAAAATCGTCCCCAGAAAACGAAAAAAGCACAAAATGTTGTATTTAACTTGAAAGGTAGGATTCCTTTATTATTTTACTGTGTCAAACATATTAACGGACAATTTAAAACTTAATATTTAAAACTCCAAAACTTAACGTTTACTTTACTTTATCCCGACTGTTGGGAATTTAAAAGCCGTGATGTTCTTTTTTAAAACAATTTTGTTTTGTATCCTATAGATATCTCAATTTGTACGATACTATTTCTTTTGATATGTCATGTTTTCATTGCCGTATGGTGTCCTGACGCTGTATTGTGTTTTCGAAACTAGTAAAGTGAAAAGTGTATTAAAACTTTATTTCGAACCGATATAGTTTTACATTTTATTTTACCAAATTTCTAAGCCATTTCCTGAACAAATTAATGCTAAACAGAAACTATTTTTTAATTCTGGTGAAAAAGTCATTCCATCATGTGTTTATATTCTAAGCGGAAATCGAGAAAAACAACTTTGTAATAGAGCAATATTAAAAGTCACACAAGAAGCCATTTTGAAAGCGTGTGCGTACAAGAAACACTGCAACACCAAACCGTGAACTGGCCGAAAACAGTTTTATTTCTGAATTTTAATTAAACTGATATTTGGATATTTTGTTTTCATTCATTAAAAAATTATACTAAAACAATTATTCGCCTCAGGCTCAGTGATTACGGTGAATATTCACCTCGACTTCGTCTCGGTGAATATTCACCGGTAATCACTTCCGCCTTCGGCGAATAATTGTTAAATATTTTCAAACGCGTTTTGTGGGACTACAGGGTGTCCAAAAAACCCCAAAACTATAAATGGTTGACATAAGTAAATTTTATGCATAAAGAAACTGTTTAAGAAGCTGCTTTAAATTCCCAAGAGCAGAAAATCGTGCGTTTCACAAAGATATTTTAATTTCTTAATAAGTAATATTTATAATTTAGTATTTTTGCACAAGGAACATAACAAATCCGACAAGGTGATTGGTCAAATCTGACGTATTAATCTGTTATATTCACCTACAAGTGAATATAACAAAATCAATTTTCAAAATGGCGGCTAGCCGTTTTGTTGAAGTTAGTGATAAAGAAATAAGCGAAATTAAAATGAATTCAGACAAGAAAAACACAAAAAAACTTGTGCAAAAATACTAAAACAATTATTCGCCTCAGGCTCGGTGAATATTCCCCGATAATCACCTCGCCTTCGGCGAATAATTATCAGTTATAGACCTTTCACTCGGGGTATTCCACAAAAAATTACCCTGAGGGATGAAATATTCCGAGGGCGAAGCCCGAGGAATATTTCATCCCGCAGGGTAATTTTTTGTGGAATACCCCGAGTGAAAGGTCTATAAATGGTATATTATACCGAACCTTTCAAAAATAAGTAGAAAACAAATACCATTCAAATAACTTTTAATTTCAAAACACAACTTTTGATAACTTTACATTTAAAAAAGTCGAATTTCCCGCTCAAGCGTGGTATTCGAAGTCGAATACCATGGCCCCGGGTAAAACACCCAGGGTTCAAATTGCCTAGGGCATAGTATTCGCTGAAAAATACCATGGTCATGTGGTACAAATTTAGTTCTCTGATTGGACAAGCTCATTGTGAGGTATAATATTTGTTAAATATACACCTTGTCAATATTATGCACATCTTTTCGTTCAGCTTAGTGCTAGGGCATCCAAATTCTAACAATACGTTATTTCAATAGTTTTGGAGTTTTTTTAGGAAACCCTGCATGTATATAATGGACATTGTCCTTGCAAGGACAAACTGATTAAATTTTTGTTAAATTTATAATGCTAATTGAACTAAGTGCAATTTGGACGACCAAATTGCACTTAGTTTTACGACACGAAGTTCTATTTCACTAATTTCCACTTATGTTCATTTTGAAATCATTA